TTTATTGATAGAATATTTGGCTAATAGTTGCATTACAACCACAGAAGGCAACCATGGGAAGAGTGTACAACTAGCCACTCATACAACTTTAGTCATTGTCTAATTTAAGTAGTCTGCCCGAAGGTTCTACACTAGCTGCCATACCTGAAACCCACTTGTAGGTTCCCTATTTAACCACTCTGTTTCCGTATCCACCCACCTACCTCTGCCTACCAATGACCCTAGCCAATGTTAGTGAAAATATGCCATGGCCACTAAATCTTTAAAGCAGTTCTTTGGAATCTTTGAACTTGTACTAAACCTTCCAGAATCTTCTGTATCCCATTATTACAGCTGACCTGGTATTGCTATGGCCAAGACCAATACTGACAGTTAGGGTGTATTATTAAACTGCCATGCTCTTGTAGAGTTTACCCCAATCTTGATACTTACTTCACAATATATCCTTACTACTTTGGTATTCAATTCAAGTTCTACCAAACTGCCATTCAAGATAGCCTGAAAAGGTAGAATGAGACCGTATCTCTGGTTTACATGTTTGCCAGCATGTATTCTTTTTCTCTGAAACCTGGAAATTCTAGTGGCCTGTTTGGTTCATCTAGTTCTTCCTCAAAGACTGGCATATTTGCCTGGTTTTACAAGTTCTAGCTCTGTTTCATAAGTCTAGTCTTTACAGTAGTATTGTCGAAAGCTTGAGTTACCTCTCTACTCAGGTCTTCCAAGTGGCTTTCATCTTTCTTCTATTGGTTTCTATAATTTACATGGTTATGAGGACTTATTGTAAGTTTGCACCACCCAGTACCAGTTTGTATTCCTTCATGTAACTACAGTTCTTGTCCCAAAGTACAATGTCATGTGACTGTTACACAAATGCCTGTGACCTGCCAGTCATGCTGGTGCACATAGATTACATGTGTCTTTTCCCAACCAATTACAAGAGACAGTTAACCATAACACAGAGAGGATTTTCAAATTTTCTGTTGACACTGGGATTTGAGTTCTGGACCTGCCACTTGGGGGTTGACAAACTAACCACTTCACTAGGTCACAACACTCCTTTAGTCTAATTATTCAGTTATACAAAAAAGCACAAAAGGCATATAAAATACTTAAATACAATAAAGATCTTTTAGTGATACTTTACATTATGATTACAGAACTAGTTACAGATAAAAAATTATTACAAACAAGTAATCTTATACAAAAGAATAAGCTAACATTTGATCTTATTACAGATCTAATAATAAATAATATACAAACTTAGCTTACATTAGAGACACCAAATAACACTATTCAGACTAAATACAAGACCCATAATAAAAAAAATAAATACTATTCCCTTTTACAATATACAATTATAGCAATTAGCAAATCATCAACTAAAACAATATAATTAACAACTGGTCAACACCAAAACAAAAAATGACCTAAAATACAACTATTTAATAAAGAAGAATTACTTAATCAAAAATTTTCTAACAATATTTCTACATTATTATTAACATCTATAACTACAATATTCAATATACAAAATACTATTAAGTCAACCTACAGCCAAATTACACAAAAACAGCTCAATATAACTTAGTTTTATTATATCAATAACTTTAAATGAACAGATATTTTGTATACTGAAATCATTATTAAAATCAATACTATTAAATAAAACTGATATCTTATATAATCTAAAAAATAAACATTATTGTAGCATACTTATCTAATTAGAGATGTCCATGATAATCCATCTAAAACATGTATATCTGACTTCAAAGAAGCTATATGAAAGTATACAAGTCTCTATATAGAACTTCACCACCCATCAATTAGAATAAGGTATTCTGAATTAACCTATTGTACTAGAAATAGATATTAACTCCATTTACTTTACTTGGATTAGGTGTAAGGCAATGTCAAAAGGATGTAATTAAAGATAATATGATGGGTTCTGGCCCTAAGATCATAAAACTGAAACATTTTTTATCAGTTTTATGAAAGTTATAAGAAATATTAAAATAATAAAAGGCTGTATTAAATGGGTTAAAGGTTATAACAAATAAGATTGAGAAGTATTATGAATAATAAGAAGAGTTATAGTCTTATATAAGCTTTTTGTATATTCAACTTATTATAAAAAAGATAGAATTTCTTTTTTCCAAGAGTATCATAGTATTTCAGTACAGAAGTATTATTCAAGAATTCAAAATTGCTCATAATAATATAATTGTATTCCTTTACAAAATAATAATAAAGTTAATAAAGCTCTTTTTAACTTGTAAAAGTAAACTAATGCTTTTTTAAAATCATAATACTTATCTTGTAATGCTTCTTATCAATCATCTTGATTAGTACTAAATCAACAAATTGTCTCTTGTATCTTTGAAGAATGTTATGCAACATAACTATTTTTTTAATAATAATTCATTATATTTGTTCTATCTCTGAACTTATCCTTATAACCCATTACAATACATTATTTGACCAACAAACCTAGACCTATAAAGTAATATCTGAGGCACTTTTAATACTAATTAAAATCCATAGCTTTATTAATTATAAACTTATTACTATACCAATTTAATTTACAATTTCATCATCAATATTTCTTAAATTCAAATATCTTGATATCAGATTTTTTATCATCTTTACTAAAAACCAAAATACCATTCTAGTATACTAAAAAAAAATATACTTACTTATATAATAATGCTTTAGTTACTTATAAACCAACTAACCAAATTACAATTACAGATGCAGCTACTTGTAAAACTATAAATACTATATTCAAACAAATACTTATATTACAATACTTTTAAACACCAACTTTACCAACTATATCTTCTTTATAATTTATAAGACCAACTACTATGGAAGAGGTTTTTTACAAATTTAAACTGAAAATAAACAAACACCTATATTTATTCAAGCTACAATTAATAGTACACTTCAAGAAAAGCTTATATCTTTATTACCAAACTCTAATAAATTCCTAAACACATTTAAGAAATCTTATTATTTATAATTTCAATCATACAAAGATCATATATAAGAGCTACTGTTAATATACTAAGAAAAATCTTTAAGTTAAACAAGCTTGCAGATAACTATTTTGTAAAATTTTTAATATTATCAGAAAAATACTAAGAACTCTTTTGTGAATTAAAAACTTAGTTTTCAATTATAAACAGATAATTATTACAATATTTTACATATTTTAACTAGAACTTGCACATGTGGTGACTTCATCGCCGAATTTTTGGTAATGTAATGGATATATATTATGAATTGGATTTATATTTTAAAGCATGAAACATATTATTGTGCACAAATTAATATAATAAAAAATATTTTTATGTTGTGATATGTGAATTTTTTATGAGCATACATGTGTCTATTGGAGTTATTTATTTACTTTAACAATATGAATTTAATGTGAAATAAACATAAATGAAGTATATAGAGGCAGAGTTTTTTAATTCAAATATTGAATCTAGAAGTTATACAGTTGGATTGTCATTTGTTGGAATTAAAAGATTTAAATATATAGGTTGATTTATATATTAGTTTGGGGTCTCTGTACGTATTTAAAAATTTGGGACAGTTAATTTTTAAAAAGGTAATGGGGTGGTACTGAATCGGGTTATGTGATACAAATATTTAAATAGGATTTGCAATGATCGATTAGCGTGGTTCATAAAATTATACGCTACTGCATAAAATCTTCGCAGTCTCATGATTTTAAATCAATCATGACACATGATCAAGTGTAACGTGAAACTGCCGGCTATTTTTAAAAACTTGTCTATAACTCAAAATTTTGATCACAAAACAACATATTGCATTTTAACAAAAAAAATTGGTTGCAAAATTTTTCTATATGCAGGGTCCTTACTACTAACATCCTAATGCTTACCCTTACTCTAACGTCAAAGTTAATTTTTTAATCGAAAATGCATGACGATCTGTGGTTTGTTTTTGGCCAATGCCATTTTAGCTTAGATCATCACGGGACTGCAAATTTTATGCGGTTGTTATGTATAATGTTTATAAATTTTCTGTGAATTTTTATAGTAATAGGAAATTAATCGGGCAAGGTGCCAGGACTAATAGTTATTTTTGAAGCGTTAAAGGTAAACTTTGATTACTTTAATTTGAGCAGGCATTTGTTTTACGTAAATTTTGTTTTTATATAGATTTACAGATAATATTTTCTAATAATTAATAATACATATTATGTAAAGATCGTAGTAATTTAGGGGGAGTCAGGTATAAGTAAAAAATATGATACATCAGGTATGTATATTATCTAAATAATTATTACCTCACTTTGTTTTTAAGTTAGTTCTTTCGTTTGAAATAGGTACAAGTTTAAATGGTTTTTAAATGCAGATTTTAGATAAGGTATATTTATATTTTATATATAGATGTGAAAGTATGCAATATATATATATATAAAAATTGATATACAATAAATAAAACTATGACGAATAAAATAATAGGTTTTAAAGAAAGTTACTTATTATCCTTGGTAGAAGCTCAGGAATAAGAAAAGATTTTTATCTATTTAATGGCAGTGGATTCTGTGCTATAGTTTTTAGTCGCTCATATTCTTCAATCATTGATCAATCAACAATGAATGCGTTGCGAGTGAGAGAATGAATTTTTACATGTTCCTATTTTGAGCAACGACTTAATGCTACATATGCCTGTCCAGTTTCAAAAATTTGATCATCTAAGTTTAGAGACACGTTGGGAAGGGTTAATCCTTGGGTTTTATGCACTGTAAGGTCAAAAGCATTTTGTATAGGGTATTGTGTATGACTAGCAGGAATGCCATTTAGGTAAAAATTGTGAGTATATTTGGAAAATGAAATGTTAACAATGGCTTCTTCAACACAGAAACTGACGTGAATAAGACTGGTTTGTAAATCGAGGTCTGTTACAATTCCAATTGTACCATTAGCTATGCGATGACTGTATTGAGAGTTATTCAAAAACATGACTCATGCTCCTGGTTGAATCCTGATCGTATTAGGTAAATTTGTTTTATTAGCAAATTCGCGGTATCTTAAGTTGTCAGAACGTATTTGACTATTTATAGTATCAATACAATCAGAAATTAAAATTTTATTTTCGAGAGCAGGAATTGAAGCACAGATTGTTCTGTTAATCAATCCAGCTGTTTCATGATAACCAACTATATGAGTAGTATTGAATGTTGTATCTAATTGAGGTGATTTAATTGTTTCCTGTAATTTTTGAGATAATATGTTCCATGTCTTGTCATCAATAATACCATATCTGATTTTTTGTAGAAGGTTATAGAATACATGATCATCATCTTGTCTTTGGGGATCACAAAGAAATAAGAGATAGAATATTTTCCATATAGGTGATTGGTATACAGGAGGCGCATTAACTGGGGGTAGTTGTGCTAAGTCACCAACTAAAATAACATTTATTCCTCCAAATGGATGGTTATTTCTGTGTAAGCGTTCAAAGAGTTCGGAGATGAATGTTAAAAGTGGGCCTGATACCATCGAGACTTCTTCAATAATAAGAGTATTGATTTGAAAAAGCTTATTACAAAATTCCAAATCATGAAATATAAGGGAACGAAAACCTCTCTCATCCGAAGCTATCCATAAGGCAGAATGGATCGTTTTTCCACCTACATTTAGAGCAGCTATTCCCGTAGGTGCCATTAATAGATAATTTCGACTAGTTCTTCTAATATAGTCTAATAGTATACGTATCATAAATGATTTACCGTTACTGGCAGAACCTGTAATAAAAAAATAAGGATAGTGTAAGGCGTCTCGTCGACCCAAATAATTTGTTATTGTTTGGTAGCAATGATATTGACTGGGGTTAAATTGATTATTATATTTGGGGGTATGGTATATGGTAATATTTTGAGAGAATCTAATTGCATTTTGATTATATCAATTATGTTATTGGTTAAAACAGGATGTAATGAAGAAACGATCGTTTCGATTATCGAGTTATATTGGTCTAAAGCATATGTTGATTGATTTGATATAAAATTAGATGTTTGCGCAATCATTGATCGATACAATTCTGGAAATCGGGAAAAAAAATGGTCTCGGTATGTTTGATATTCCCCAAGCATTTCTTGTTCAGATCTACAAGGGAATTTTAGTAGTAATTGTTGATAGAAGTATAGTTCACCATGTTCTAATCTTAAGAATCTGTAACGAGTAAGTATTTTGTTTTCACATTTAATAACAAAGTTTCCTAAAGCATCTTGGTAGATTGTTCTTTGAGAGTTATTTGGTATAGTAGATTTTATTTCGTAAGTTTCAAAATAGGATTTGTAGGTTATATTATCGAATACGGGATCATTTGGTCGAGCAAAATATTTTTCTATTTTGTCAGACCAATAAGGATTATCATCCAGAGAATCAATCATGTATAACGGAAGTATAGCTTTAGATCGAACATGTGGAGGATCTGTCGTAAGAAATTGAACTTGAGTTGAGGAGTTTGTGATACGCTCACCAAGTAATAAAAACATTATTTCCATTGATCCCATTCATCGAGCATGAATGAATTCTCGATAACACAATTGTTCACGTATGTTAAATAAGTGTGTTGGTTCGGGTTTACTTATATATTTGGTTATATATCGAGCAATCCCTTTATTTGTAACATATTGAGCATTCATATGGGCATTCCATATCATTAACGTTGAAGCATGATATGGAATTACCCATTGGTCCTCAGGTGCTAAACACTGATATGTATATCGATAATTATTTGAATTATAATAGGTACACTCAGCAAAGGAACGAGGGAATCCTTTTTTACATCTAGAACCAGACGGAGCGGGCCCACCACATTTGGAGTTACAAGTGTGCAGCTGTAGAGCACAAACTTTTTGATAAAGTTCAGGTTCTATATCAGGGTTCGGAAGAGTGAACCTAATTGTATTCGAGTTAATCATTTCTGCTATATTGAACGTTGTCCAATAAACACCGTGTAGATGGGCCGCACCACGGTTTTGAAACTCTATCCTATCAAAGAAATGATTGTACGTTCCCCATTCACTAATATCAGATTTTTCTAGAAAGTTTTTTGAGATTTTGTAACCTATTAGTGAAGTGTAAAGTTGCGTGTAATGGCCTATTAGTTGGTAAAGGATCATGATTATCCGTGTTGATCAAAATATTGTGAAGATGATGCCATGAACCTTCAGCCATTGATAATGTAATGAATATTGTAGGAAGACCTAATTCACGTATCATTGTATTTAGGTGCAAGGTTTTTTGTTGAAAGTAAGTGTCTCCCATATGAATAAATGTGGGAATAGGTATGGTACTAGTTTCATTATAATGCCAACCATCTGTATAAGTGCTTCATTCAATAATTTCAATGGCAGTAGGTAAGCGATGTATTGTGTTAGCATTAGATTGTCGAATTAATCATTGTGTATTTTGGAAATTTCGGAGTTTTCTAATTGAAGATATGCCCAGGCAGGCCAGTAGTGATGTAAACAGAACCAATGATCTAAAGAAAGCAGGCGGTGTTTAATATATTTTCCAAAAGTGTCATGTCGAATTTGAGTGTTTTCAAACTGATTACATATTTCGCGATAGTATCCATGACCATCTGGATATAAATCTGGAAAAAGTAACGGTTCGAGATGTGGATCATTTAAAGAAATTGGAATCATGTTAGAATTATCATTTGTTAAAAATCCAGCTATGAGGCGATGATAATGAGCATCTTCGTTATGAATTTCAGCAGGAAAGTTTTGATGTGAAATTATTATATCACCTTGTTGTATAGGCAGTATATTGTTATCATGAAATAAATGAGTGGCAGTTGGATAAGAAAGATGGGTAGATAAATTAGAAGGAAGCATCTGGGTATATCTACATAAATAGTGATTATTTTCTTTGAGCCAGCTTGTTGCATTTATTACTGATCTATCAAGCCAAGGTGGTAATGAATTAGGGGCCGAAAGTTCTAGGAATGCTCCTAATATGCCAGAATATAAACTCAGGGTGTGAAAATTCCGAGAATAATTCATAGAACCTACTAATGATCTATATTTTGTAAAGGAATTTGCTCCGGGAGTACGACCCAAAGAACAATGTAAAAAGATCGGAGACAAATATTGGTGTTTTTCTAATGGGACAAGTTCAATTTCTAAAGGAACAAGAGAAAGGTAAGGTGGGTAATTTCGATTTGGATTTGATTTGCATGAAGGACATATAGCAATTCGATTTGAAGGTGAGATGGGATTAGTAGTTAATACAATATTTGGGTACACGACAGTAAGTGGATAAGTAATATTAGAGTCTTTTTGAATCCACATTGATTTTTCTGGGTACATAAGTTTTGAGCAGATAGAACAAGGAACACATGAAAATTGACATAAGATTTCATTGTTAAATTTGTTAATAATCTGTTGCATTTTTAAAGATATGGTCCACGGTGAATTAACTGAAGATGTAGATGCAGTAGCATTAGGTTCGGGATTTATTTTTTGCATTACGGGTTGAGATGCATTATTATACGAGGTCAAATCAATGATTTGTTCATTACATTCTAAAGAATGAATTTTAAAAATTTGATGTGTATAGAATGACATTGTGATAGGTTTAGTGATATAGGGTGTAAGGAATAAAAAACAAATTAAATAATGAGCAATGTAAGGTAATATCGGTTATTTGTTTGACTTTAAAGTTTTTTTTTTAATTATCTAAAAAGAACACTAATAAGCGAAAAATTGTAATAGGTACATTGAAAAAGTTATAATTTTTTAAATATTACCAACTATATAAGTTTTATTTGTCAGATAAGAGAATTTATGACAAGATCAAATATAATAGAGATAAAGCACAGGGTTTTTATACGTTTTCGTGAAATATTATTTTTTTATCGAAACAATGTATATATAGTATCTTATTCATACGGAATAAGAATTTCTTTATAATTATTGCGTCTTTTTCCTTAAGTAATGCCATATTCACGAAATTTAGTGAAGTTTCAAATGTAAGGCATGCTATCATGTTGTAAATATAGAGCGAACATGCTAATTTATGAAATTGTCTATAAAATTAGATGTATATAATGAAGTTCATAGCATGCTGAAAAATTCAATACACTATATGATGAATTTGCTCATAATTTACTGTATCACATTTTTGGAGTTTCAGACGTGAAACATGTAATCATGTGATTGTAAAGCAAACGTGTTCATAAAATCGGTAAAATTCAAATGTCATGATATGCTAAAACAATTTGGTACATTAATTTTGATTTTCATGCTATAAAATGAATGTTTATATAATTTATTGCACCGATGTTTTCAAAGTTTCAGGTGTAAGGCACGCGATAGAGTTGTAATTGTAAAGTAAACTTGCTATTTTGTGAAAATGTTTATAAACCAGATATAGATGGAGTTCATAGTACGTTAAAGGAATTTGCCATATTAGCTGTTAATTTTTATAATACATACAGATACTTCACAATTTAAAGTATTTTTTTTAAGATGAACAATTTTATAAGACGAACATGTTATTTCATAAAATTGTTTACAAAGTCAGATGTATACATGAATTATGGTATGCAAGCTTTTAAATTTCATACAGTTCGCATGTTATGCATACTAAATATGCAATAACAAAGTAAATAACAAACTAAAAATAAGGTTTAAAAATATACTTCAAATCACAAAAATCATAAAGTTAAATATTGCATATTTTTTTAATAGATTAATTTTATTGTAATATTTATGGTATTAAATTCATCATCGTTTAGCATATAGCATACTTTGGTACAATTCATTCAAGTTATCTTGAACTCATGATATAGTGAAGACTCATTATTGCAAACACGTAAATTTGAATTGCAGAATCATTAATTTAACTCGATGAAGTACATAAAGTAAAAGCTATAGTGAAGAATTTTTTTATTAATTTCAATGAACTAAATAACATGCCATTTACGACATGCTAACGACTTTCATGTGATGAGTTCTTGACATATAATAAATTAGCAATTTTAGATTTTTATTATAATTTTTGTATGAATAAATTGTTTAAATTTTTATTAAACCAAATAAATGATAAAATTAAATAATAATTATAAAAAAAAGACAAAAATAAAAAACCCTAGATATTTTAAGGGGTTGATGGATTTGGAACTTCATTATGACTCTGGTTTAATGCTTCTTTGGTGAGGTCAGAAACCTTTGGTCGATCTTTTACTCTAAAATACAGTTTTGTCGTTGTTGAAGCTTTTTTTCATCTTCCGGTTTTGACTCTTGAGGCAATTGTTCTAGCTACTGATTCTGTGGTCGATTCATTTACCGGTGCTTCATTTAACCACGGAAGGTTGGCAGAGGTTTTTAAGTTGATGCTATTTACACTTGACTTTTGATATTCAACGAAGTTTACACTACGAAGATGAACCATATAAGTATCGTCGACGATCATGAATTTACCACTTATGAAAAGAACGGATCCTATTTTAACTGCGGAGGAAGTTGGGATGAGATGTTGAGCAGATTTCAGGTGGTAACATTCCAATCTAATAGTGATGTTATCCTGGTCCATATAATCTTTAGCTTCTACAGTCAAAGTGATATCATTAGTTTCTATTTGAGGAGATTCAATAGTGACGGCAGTTGTGTTTAATAGAATAGAGAACACTGGTAATTCACTCGGGTCGATAGGAAGATGGACGATTTTGGACACAAGAACCTTGATAAAAAAATTAAAGTTTATTTTTTGATAAGAGATAGGAGAATAATAATTGTAAAGTTATTATACAGGTTAGATAACAGAAAAAGTGACCAAATTGACAAAAAAATATTCGAAAAATCAATTTTTTATGTTATAATAAATTTATTATAAATCATAAGTAAATACGATTTCTAAAGGGCTATACTGCAAAATCTTATTAATACAATTATGATTATGTTTTAAGTAAAAATAATTTATGTAAAAAAATTTTATTTGAAAACTTGTCAATTTGGTCTCCTTTTTCCAGTACCTACTTTCAGAATATGAATTTTTTTTCCGGTTTCATCCACGTCTTCAACAATCTGAAATTTACCAGTTACTAAGAGTACGTCGTCTGTTGAAAAAGGAGCCAAAGCCAAATCCTGGGTCATGTCCTGCGAGTAAAAACCCACCAAAGAACATTCAATGCGGTGACCTTGCTTCTGGGATGCATTATTCCAGTGGCTCTGACAATGGTAAAGGTCTTATTAGAGGTGGATTCCTGCCTATCGGTAATGTAACATACTATTGTTACTGTGGATGGCATTTTGATTTTAGTCAAAAAGGTACCTTGGACTTAAAAGAACTATTGTTTCTTTTATAGAAAATCATTTATTAATTTTCAACGCAAGTGCATCACTTACTTTAATAGAAATAATGTGAGATTTAGGTTAAAATTTTTATGTATTTCAAGTATACATATTTCCAAGTGTCAAAAGAATAGCCTACCATCGTCCACTGTCATTGCTACTATTGAACCATTCGATTAAAAGGCTTGTATTATAGTTCAACAGCTTTACAATACAAACATACATTGAATCATACCTTTTCCTCATGTAATCAGATGCGAATCAAGTTTGAAACTTGTATATTGATAAATAAAACAACTTATTTACTTACAATAACACGAGACTTAAAAGAACCATTTCTTTTAGAGAATTTATTATAAGCAGCTTTACGACACAACTGTATTTCGAATTATATTTTTTCCTTATGCAATCAGATATGAATCAAAATTAAATTCGTATCTTCATAAATAAATTCAGATTATTTATTTTTACAATAACATAAAAAATCAGGATTGATAGATAGTTCATAAATAAGTTTCTTTAACATTACTTCACATGTTACTGCAAGATGGTTTAAAGATATTTACATCTCACATTTTATTTTAATCATGCATACGTTCAGGCTAATTCTAAAGATTTTCATCAAGTTTAATTAAGCTGCTTTTCCATATTGATATATATGTTTATATAGTGCAATGATTTGCATATCGAGTATTCTAGATCGTCAACTTTTATCGAGTAGTTATATTATGACTTTATATGGTTTGTGCAGAATATCTATAGTCAAAATTTCTTTGCAATTACAGAAAAGGAATTTCCAACTGTCTTTTTTTTTATAAAAAAAAAAATGAATTGTAAAATAAAATAATATAAAAAAGAAATAAGAAATTAATATCGCTATCACTATAAATATTGATATTGCAATAATAATATATATATATTTTTTTTACTGAAAAAAGATGAACAACCTACAATGTGCTATTAAAGCGTTTTGCTTTGACTTTTCCGTTACTCCCTTCATCTAAGCTTAAACATATACTTCTGAACTTTTCTTTTTCGCCGGATCATTTATTGGACAGATGAATCGATAATTGCTGATAATCAAAGACTATAATAAAAGCTAACCTGAAATCAAATTGCTTTCTTATTATTTAACGAACAAAAATGAAAAGCCAATGCTATTCATCTTTAAACTGTCACGGTTGTATTACATTTCTGGCATGATACTTTATTAGTAAAATGTTTTGTTACGATGCATGCTATCATTAACTATTAATGAATCTTGTCTTCATATTATTTATTCGATTCTTAATTAATGATTCAAGCCGAATGTGATTTTTTATCATACGAGAGAAATCATTTAATGGGAATTACGTGTTCATTAAAATTAAGTGATACACATAATGATCTATACACAATTTATAAATAATTCATTTATAAATAAATACAGTATTATGTTGTCTCATAAACAGGTTCACAAGCAATTTATAGCCAAGAAAAGCAATTGGTTGATTAAATACAATAACTATTTGCAATTATGCGATTTGATAAACGGTTTATAGAGGACTCATAGCTAATACAAGCAATTGTCCATTCATATACAAACGTACAATTCAATTTTACTGCAATATCAAATCGGTTTTACCCATGATCATGAAATAATGCATAAATGATTGGACCAAAATTTATGCATATCATTATTGATTTTTAAGAATCACTAAAATTAACTATATGATTGAAATAATACACATAAATTTACCAATCTGAAATCATTGACAAATGAATTCGTATACTAGTGATTCAGATGATGAATTCACATTACATGGAAAATCAACAATAAAAGAAAGGAAAAAACTTAACCGATTTTTAGGAATAACATTTTTAGCAAATTTTAAATGAAGGCATTGTATAGATGACATGATTTTCAGCTGGTTAAAATTATTGAACAAGTTGTAAATATTTTTGCGAATGATTTTAGGAACAAAATTCACTTTAGCTTTTGCTTTTGAAGCACAAAGAAAATTTTGGCAGTTTCAAAGAATAATATTTTCATCTTCTTCAATACCATGTTTCGCATAATCTTGGTAGACGGAGTCGAGATATATAGTGAATTGGTGAATATGGTGACATTTGCGAATATTAGGAACTCTAAGCAAGGTGGAATACACAAAATGGATTATCAGAAGTATTTGAGAGCGGTGAGTCCATATGATATCAACAGAGTCGATAGCGATAGATTGAAGATCATGGTCTTTGAAGTTCATAATAATTGGTGCGTATTTCATTTCTTATAACGGCCAAAAAAAAAAACAAATAGTTACTTGTACGTAAGTATTTATATTTTTTTCACCCAATTATTTGCAATATCAGATTGAAGTCTTTGTCATAAGATTAGGGATGTTATCCCATCTAAAATAGTTAATTTATGCTTCGAAACCTGCTGGAATACCGTTTGAAACATGCACATAGATTGGGTTTCAAACATCGCTTTAAAACTGGTTTTGCATATGACAATTAATTCAGTTTGTTTAAAAATGTTAGTTCAAAACCTTTTACCTGTTAGAATGCACTACATGCATAAATTTATATTTGTAAAAATTACATATTATGAAGCTTTTGGCTTATAATATCAGCTTCGAACTTGAATCAAGTATAATAAGTTTTGGTTGTATAAATAAATATTGTGATCAAAAATCATCTTTAATTGGATTTGGGTTTAATCAGGAACAAGCAGAGTTTGACTGAACAGGATTACCGTACCATGTCGAATGAGCTTAATTTATAATGAGTTAATAATCATTAAAGATTTTTTTAAAACCTTAATATTAAATAAAATAGTAGAATTTAAAAAAATATTTGGCCAAATTAACGATTGAATTGTTCTAAAATATGCACCTCGAAATAACATCCCGTGACGTTATTTAAAATTATATGGAAGTACTGCGCAAGATATAGAAATTTTCAAATTTCATGTACATGGAATACTTTAGAATCTATTAAGTGTTCCTGGAAGATTTCGAAGTTAGAGGCTAAACTATCAGCATCATATTGCTCAGCCGGCATTATAAATATATATGAAAAATCAGCTCATGATTTCATAAAATCATGAGCACGGTACAATACTAAACAGGATAACATCTTTGTCGTCACATAAGATCAAATTATTACCTAATTTATACTGCTTTAATTTCCTGAATAAACCTGTTAACAATAAAGAGCAAATGTGATAACATATAGTTTAATGCAACAAATAAACGGTAAATCATACCAAGATATAGAAACGATGTGTACAAATGCATCTAAATACACACTGCATATACATACGCATTCACGCAGTACTCGAATGAGGTGGTATTTCTAGTTCGTGATAATGGTATGGAAATTTGATTGCCGGATGCAGATATTTTAAAGCTTCATTATATTGGGAGTGGACACATAATCAGTAATGATCATCAGCTAAAAAAAAAAGCCTTCTCATTTGTTTGTTCTTCGCAAAGATTAAATTTATCTCACTCGGAGGCCTTAGAAATTTATCATGATTATCAAGTAATCAGGCCGGCAAGAAATCCGAATACAAACTTTTTTTTTTTGACAAAAGCGACATACAGACTAACAAAAAACGTAAAACAAAGTTAGCACTGTATTTTTTAACGATAATCAATGGTGCAAAACTGCAATTGTGATTTCAGAAGTTGGAAGCTAGTAGTTAGTAGCCAGAAGCTGTATATGTATATGTATATGTATATACATATGTATATATGTATATATATATATATATGTATATGTATAAGCATATGTATATGTATATGTATATGTATTATAAAAAGGCCAGAGCAAAATTTCCTTTTCTAGATATTACGAGGAAATTGCTTTGATGATTTTATGCATGATAATGATACAAACAATAAAAATAGACGTACTGCTAAACATATATGGTTAATAAATATCACACTGCATAATCACAAATGGCGAAAATATTACACTGTATGGCTACATATGGCAAAGTAATCGGGCAAAATTTAAAACTGTTAAATACAAACTTGCTGACTACTACATCTTTACTATAATCTCAAATTCATATTTTCAACTTTTACTATTAAAACAATTATTATCTACTACTTATTATGAACTTAATTACAAAGTTAGTGGTCTTTTCCATTTAACTCATCTATATCCAAAATACTATTAGCTGAGGCAGTTTTACAACTAAAAAAGTATTATATATTTAAATTAATTCCTAGTGATTACTTTATTACCAAACCATTTTTGCCAAATAATTCAGATCTTATTTATACTAACTCACAATATACTTATCTAATAACTAATAATGCAATAACAAAAGAATTTCTTGAAGAAGTCTTTTATTAATATTATATTAAATTTCTAAATCTGATTATATAGTGCAAGCAAACCTTACTGACAAACTTAACCTACCAACAAACAGCCAAAAGCTTGCTAAACTTAACATCATAGTATTTATTACAACACCTTAACAACTTATACAAATTGCAAAAATACTTTGATAATACTTTTATTTCTAAGAACTATTATCATTATGGATTAATATTACAAATTCTCTTGTTTAAACTGCAGAGCAAAAAGATAATGCTAACAATAATAAATCTATTTAAACCATATAGGCCCTTCTACCTATACCTAACAATGTAGAAGATATTAACTCAAAATAATATACAACTTACTTTTCCAATAAGCTTACAATATAGATAATATCAACAATACAAATTCTTAAACAACACTATACCATTTATACAATTTCAGACTTTTTACTCAATATACTACTATTAACTACATCAATATGAAAAATATTTAACATGTTTACTATAACACCAAATGAGCCATTTACAATCAATACTGCAGCAATAGATATCTCCTAACTTTATATTAATAGATAACACTATTGATCCAACAACAAACTTATACATTAATATTTAACTATTGCAACATACAATATTCAAAG